TTTGTGAAAGAGATTTTTCAATGTTAAAAAAAAAAAAAAAATAAGTTGAAAGGGTGTCGATAAATAATTCCTGACGGAAAGGTGTAAAGTATTTTCCGATACTTTTCTCCAGGAACATGATTTAATGTTGTTTTATTTTATTTTTTTTTCATTTCAATTCATTATTATTTGCGAGTTTCGAAAAGTTTTTTTTTTACAGGCGATTGGATTTAAATTGTTGAAAAGCCATTTCACGATTCCATTATCTTTCACTTTTCCTTAAAATTTAAATCGTTCAAGTAAAGAATAGTAGTAAATTCCTTTTTTTTAACCGAAAGAAGAAAATTACTTTTTTTTTTTTTTTGACAATATCTTTGTGAAGAAAAAATAAAATTTATTTTACTCAACAAAAAAGGCGATTCCACGTGAAATTTACCTATGGCCTTTTAAATTCGGATAGATATATTTTTCTTCGTTCGTTATAGAAAAAAATGGGATACGTATTTTTTTTTTTTTATAAGTGCCCAAATTTTCGAGTTATGAATTTTTATAAAACTGATTGTGAGTTTTTCGAGGTTTTTTTAAAAAAATTAACTGAACCTTTTTTCTCTTGACGAAAATTCCCAAATTCAATACTTTTAGAGTTTAGATGTCATTGAAAATTGGTCCAGTTTTAAAATACCTCGAAAATACTTCGATTTTTAAAAATTCATAACTCGAAAATTTGGGCACTTATAAAGAAATAAAAAAAATATATACGTATACCAAATTTTATCAGCAAGGAACAAAAAAAAAATTTATTTTTCCGAATTTAAAATGTCATAGGTAAATTTCACATTTAATCGCCCATATATATTTTCTTCCAAAGAAAAATGAAATTTCCACTATAAAAAAAAAAATGTAAAAATAAATTAAAGAGAAAAAAAATGTGATTCTCGTTTTTTTTTTTTTAAAGAAACTTTTGACCACACCACAAGCTATAGATACTTATCGACAGTTTTCTTAAACTTTTTAAATTCTATAAGAAGTTCACTTAGAGGAAGTTTACTGGTATTTTTTTCATTTCTTTTTTAAAATAAAAAAAAATGTCGAGTGAAACCTTATAAAACTCCATTTGCTTTATGTATTAAGTGAAACTTATATAAGTACCTAAAGAGTGAGAGAGAGAGAGAGACAAAATGCTTTAACATCTTTTTGCCAGTTCTAATATGGATGCATGTTCACTGTATTCTATTTATTGAAAACTTTAGTAGGGCAATCCCGCGCTTTTCATCTATACTTCTTTACTTGTCCCGTCCGCAAGCGTGTCGATTCAAGGAGAAATTCTATCGTAAAGCAATTGATTGTGAAAACTTAAACGTACTTGTGAAAGCTTCACGTCAAACTTTCTTAACACCTGCGTTGTTTCTCAAACGATATATATATATACACACATTCTTATCGAAAAAAGTTATCCAAGAAAGATTGTGCACATCCAATAGAAATATACATATATTCATATATTTTGCCTTCAAATTATACGCTTAAATTTTTTACAGTTTCGACAAATTCGTATACAGCTATCCTTGAAATTTATCCTTGAAGGACAAATTTTTTTTTTTAATTTATTTAAATATAAATAAGGAATGTCATATGAGAAATTTTTTCAAAAATATTTGCCTTAAAAAATGTTAACAACTATGTTTTTTTTCATTAATAACTTTATTTTTTTTTTAAAGGGGAAAAAAGTTATATAAATGTTTTTTAAAACACACCAGACTTTAAAAATAATTAAATATAATTTTTTTTATTAGTAGTAATGGTTGATATCAATCAGCCACTCACAAGTGAAAAATTTTCAAATTTCTGTAATTTACAATTTTTATTTTAAATAAATAACAGCTTTTAGAATTTTTTATTTCTAATTTATATTCTATTTAAGATTATTATTATATTATTTTTATTGTTAGTATATTATTATTATTATTATTATTATTATTATTATTATTATTATTATTATTATTATTACACATACAGTATATAAAACAGTTAAGAATAATTTCGAATAATCTCGCACGCATGGGGGATCGAACCCAGGACACTTGGGACGCAAGCCATGTACTCTGACCACACAGCCACGTTGACTTTTACAATTTTTTGCAGGAAATAGAAAATCTTAAAGTTTTAGAAAAAAATTTTTCAATTTGTAATTTATTTAAAAAAATAAACTTTGTGTTTAATACTTGAACTTGTTTTTCAATCTCAAAAATATCGAGAATATTATTTAAAATTTGAAATCATAATAAAATATAATATAGAAAGGACAAATTGAAAAAAAAAAATTTTTAATTTTTTAACATTTTCTATTTAAAAAAAAACGTATACTACTTTTTTCACTATTTTTTATAAACGTATAAATGAAAGAAAAAGCATTTTTTTCCAAACTTTATTTGTTTTATGGTTTAAATGTGCTAACATTAAAAATATTAAAAATTTTAAGTTAAAATTTTTAGTACTACTTATACCTATAAGCATTCAAATCACTATCAATTATTGTATAAAAGAGAAAAAAAAAATTCTCTACGTCTCCGTTTTCATATGAAATACCACAAGTGTATATATATATCGAACATATTAGAACAAAAGAAAATTACCGGAAGTGCTCCAAAATCGTTAATTTCTTCTTTTAGACTATTGTAACTTATCTTTTAATCCTGAAATTTATCCTTCCGTTATTTCTGGTTTTCGCTTGGATAAAAAGAAATTAAAAGAAAGAAGTAGAAGTGAAATTGTGTGAAAGGATTTTCTTATTGTATATTTCTTTTGTTCACTTTCTGATCCATAAACTGTATTTCAATTTGTTTTTTATTTAATCTATATTAATTAAAAAAAAAATCTACGGATTTTTTAACATTTTTTTTTTTTTTTTTTGCTTTTTTTACAGTAAATAATGAAAAAAGTTTAAAAATTAAAAAATTATAGTTTTCACAATAATTTTAGTAATAATAATAATAATAGTAAGCAATTATAAAATGCAAAATTTATAGGGAAATTATTAAAAAAAATAATAATAATATACACGTAAATAAATAATAAAAATATTAATAATAAACCGTACAGATATTGTCTCACTTTGCACAGAAAATAAAATGTATTCGATTGTATTCATTATTAAATTATATTTATTCATATCAAATAAAAATTATTTGTTTCAAGTAAATATTTATTTATTAATTGTCAAGTAACTGATTATTTTCATCAAATAAATTTTTTTAGTGTGCCTTATTGAAGGGAAGGCTTCATTTTTATATTTACCCCTTCAAATTTTAATAATCATACGAAGTTATATTTTTTTTATTGCATTATTTGGGTCTTAAATACATACAGGATGGACAAAAATGGAAAATTAATTTTTGTTCATTTTAAATTTTGTATTTTTTTTTTAAATTCCCATCGACTAAAACCTTTCAAAATTTTTGTTTTATCCAAAATTAAAGTCTTTTAGGTAGATATAAATTTTTTAATTTCCACTTCAAAAAATGTAAAGTTAATGTATAGTTATTGTAATAAAATTTTATATCTTTAAAATTATCGAAAGAACGTTAAACAAAATTTTAAATTAAAAGAGTTCATTAACGAGTAATTTGAATATTCTAATTAATAAATAAAATCAGGTACACGACACAAATTCAATACAACAAAATAATGATAAACAATATATTCAATAAATCAGAGTCAATAAATTCAATTTTACAAATTTAATTTCTTAATCTAAAAATTTATACACGCGAGACATTCACTCAATCATACTTCGACTTAAAATACATTCACAATTCGAGAGTTCAATCACAAAGACATTTGAGGTGATAAAATGAGAAAATATCTGAGATCCAAAAACATATAGTAGAGAATATAAAAGATGAGAACATTAGAAAAATGATATTGAGAGCATAAAAGTATTAAATATCTCAATATAAATGGAAATAATAAAATAATAAAATTCGAATCAAAGACTTATCTAGTCGGTGATAGTTGACGTCGTGGGGAATAACGGTGTGGCACCGGATAATAGCCTCGTCGATGGTGTGTTGGCACCGCTGGACTCGTTCGTCAGTGTGCACAATAAATTCAGAATCCAATGATATTTCAATTATTACAAATATCCGCGTCGTCATAGGGCCCAAACCTCCGCAGAATATTTATATTAAATAACACCCTGTAGACCTCACGTCCTGAGACATCCGCACACGCACCGTCCTCAGATCCCTTTTTCCACGTTGAGAACGCGCCACTCTTTTTATTAATAACCAGAAATAAAACCATGAAATATATATAAAAATAATCAAGAACAAAATGTTGACACTGATTTTTATAATTAGAAAATATTTAATTGAATCTAAATTTGCATAATTATCATTAATACCTTTGGGCAGTCGGCGACTCGCAAAGACGTGGCGCAACTTCTATCAACCAGACCGGAAAAGTGAGGACAAATCGTGTGCGGAAATCTATTTTATTAATTCCCAGAACGCGACCCCCCCATAATGCGACTTTCTTCTTGTCTAGCGGTGCCCACGCCTCATCGTTCCCTTTGGCGCCTTTTCCCCGAAATTATCCGACTTTTATCGAAACTCGTGAATGACAAATCGCGCGAATACTCAGATACCAACACTCGATTTTCCCATCACACTCTAACTTATAACAAGAAAACAAAATTTAACCAAAGTACAATTGAACGATGAATAATTTCTTACATTATTTTGTTATTATAAAAAGAATATAGTTCAGTTTTAATATTTAAGAAGCAGTGTTAGGTAGACAATTGACGTGGCTGTGTGGTCAGAGTACATGTCTCGCGTCCCAAGGGTCTTGTGTTCGATTCCCCATGCGTGTGAGATTTTTCAAAACTATTAAGTATTTTATATACTGTAAATTTAATAATCTTAAATTTAATATAAATTATAAATATCATAAATACTACAATAAAAAAATTATAAATCAAACAGGTCATTGATTAATTTCTATTTTTATTTATGTTTCAGGTATCGGTCGTAATTAAAAAAAAAATGGAATCATGGAAATGTAACAAACCAGTAAAATGCAATTCTTCTTCATGGTGCCAAATCGAACTTGTGGGAAGCAATAAAAGCTGCAAGTCGTAAAGAGCTTCTATACTTCTCGTTATTCGTATGTCGTAAAAACGTAACATTGTGAACTCAAATATGAACTCATTAAAATTTAAAGTCTCGTAAGAGGAAATTGTCGAGCACGAATTTATTGCAATAAACCAAAACATTTTCAAAGAAGGAACACATATATATTGATAACTTGCAATAAATTATAATTCTCTCGAATTAAATTGAACATTCCTTTAATTTCATTATTAAAAGGAAAAATTAACATAAAACGAATAATATATTTTCAACAGAAATTAAATACTCCCAATCTCGTGACATTTTCAAAGAAAAATAAAAGAAGCTCAAGTTAATGTATTTAAAAAAATAAGCGATAATTGTATAGAAATATCGATGTAGAAAATATAATATACAGCTGGAAATTATAATATATAGTTATAAAAATATAAACAAATAATCCAAAAATAAGTGTAAAAACGAAGTTTTAAAAAATAGAAAATGACCCAAGGGAAATTAAACATCTACTCTTAAAATCACAATCAGTGATACAGTGTAATATATATATATATATACAATAATAAAAAAAATGCGTTGGAAACAATTAGAAGCAATTAATTTCAATTAAAAAGTATATAATAAAAATAAAATAAATGGCTTATGATATGTGGTGTAAAATATAATAAATGAAAATGTGAAATTATTTCATTTGTGAATTTGAATGTTTTTTCATAGTGTTATTCAGTGAACATGAAGAAGATGAGGAAGTGTTTTATGAAAATGAAGTGAGATAACAATGCGTATTGTTAATTAAAGAAAGGGTGGGAGGAGTCGCGGAGGGTGAGAGTGAGTGCCGAGATTGTAAATGTCTCGTGTGCGCGATTTTCTGAACGAGTTTCCATATCATGTTGACGGCCGAGAGTAATTTGAGCTGGACGAGCGACCTGAGTGCAATATTGCATCAGGTGTCTTGCAACAGTACCTTTCTGGGCTGCATGGAAGAGTGCGGAACGACCGTGACTGGTTATGATCATTTTTGCACTGTTGAACCTTCATCGACAATGTCAACTTCATCATCATCAGCAGCATCGTCGTCGTCATTGTCGGCGACCCTCTTTTGTAGACCTTGCGATTTTACTGGTTGCGACTTCAATGTTTCTCTGGTATTGAGAGGTCTGGAGAGTATCGAAGGTGCTTTCCTCTCTAAGATGCCAAGAATTCGTGATTGCAATTCAACCTTTTTCGGTCAGGTGAGTTTTATCCAAAAGATTTATATTTTGTACTTTAACACGTAAAGATCATAATAATGGGTGCTTTCGACGTGCTCAGAAGTGATCACTCAGAAGTGTTCAATCGCTTTGGAAATATTAATTCCTAGAACCCATAATTTTTATTGGCTCATAATTTTAAAATTGCGACAAAATGTGAACGTGCATTAGATTCCAAAAAAGAATAGTGACATAATTTTGGGGAATAATATAAAAATTTTTCTCTAGAAGACTGAAAATGTGATATCCTTCATTGTTGGGATTACAGATTAGATTACTCTAGATCACATTGGCTTACTCCGCTTAGTGTCATGAAAATACGTAATGGAACACTAGCGCCACTGATTGTGTTAAACTCAGCTGGACAGTCAGCCATTGTAAAAGTTTTAAAAATAAGGAGCAATGTATTTTTGGGTTATGTTCAAAACGTACTTCTAATTTTTCTCACTGTTTACATACTTCCCACGAGAGCGCTTGTGTTCCATTACGTATTTTTATGACACTAAGCGGTTACCAAAATTTGTTCCACTGTCAATGTACGTAGTTCGGTCTCCTTATACTACTCCATGGTTTTAATCGTTTTAACTGTTATAGTCCAAGTCAAAGTTTCGTCTTTGTTTACATTTTCATAACCTCAAATTTTTATATTTTGAAAGAAAAATTACTGCGGATATTAAAAAATAATAATTATTTATAATTTAAGTTGATTATAAATAGGTATTTTAAAATGATTGGATAAATTATTTTAGACCTTCTTGAATTACTGCGGGCATTCTAACCTCTAAATACATTATTTTCGACACAATAATTGACATGCAGAAACTAATTCAAACGCGCAGTATTAAAAAAATTTCGATATCACTTTTAATTGCTTAAATTTTGTTTAAATAATGTATTTTTGTATTTTTAAAATCACATGTGTGCGGGTTAGGGCCAAAGCAGAAAAGTTTTGCGAAAGTCATTCGTGAACGAGATGCATGCGTTAGAAAAGGACAGAGATATATATTTATGTCCTTTTCTATCTCATGAACCATGTTTGCGTACGACTTTCGCGAAGCTGTTCTGCTTTGAACTTTATGCATTTTACTACAAATTCAATTTGTGCACAACTGAGTGATCCGGAACATAATCCAACAGTGATCTGTGAGCACATCGAAAGCACCAATTTGTAGCGATCAATTTATATTTTATATATTTGCGTATAGTCTATGAGTAGAGATGTGCGATTAGTTCGAATCAAATTAGCGAATATTCGATTCGAATCAAAAAGATTTAACATCAATCTATTCGAAGATTTCGAATTAGCTATGATTCGAATTCGAAAATTTTTATAATATTTTTCATTTTCAATAAATATAAAATTTAGTTATGAAGTACAAATTTTCAAATTTAAAAATCTACCTCCATTTCTGGAGCTCTTTCTATGACTAGTGACATCTAGCGGCTTCCAGTAGAGAACTGTTTCTTTCTTATATTTAATGGTCACCTTTATATTCTCTTTCACCTTTAATTCGAAATTTAGTAATAAATATAAATGTTCATTTCTTATAGTAAATTAAAAATAAAATGTATTCATATTTATATGTCATACTAAAAAATAAAATGTTTTATAAAAGATAAATTTTAATTTATAATTAAACATTTTTGATTTAAAAAACAATTTTCAAAATTATTGATGATTAAAAATACAAAATGGACAAAACAAATGATAAATGACAAAAGTTAAATTTGTGATCTCTTGTCACGAAATTCCAAGATCGATTAAATAATTTAAAAAAATTAATGAATTAAAAAATAAATTAATAATAAATAAGAAAATCTTTAAGGAATAGTCAAAACTCATAAAAAGAGAAAATTAATCATTGTCATAGTATAAACAAATATTAATAGAGAAAAAGGGTGAATAATAAATTTTTAATAAAAACACACTAAATAACGGGGAAATACATAATCAAAACATGTCGAAATAAGTCACAAATATTACAATTAATAAGAGAAATTTAGAAAAAGGAAATCAATTTTAATAAAAACTGAAATGGATGATAATGAAATTGCAATTTTTTTTTTCTATACATTTTTTCAATATGCAAAAAATTTTAAATGTGGAAAAATACTAATGGATTTTAACGATTAGACTTTAAACTACAGTTTAGTTACAGAATTGAGTCGAAGAATTTAGTAGAAGGGAAATAGCATCTGTTCTGCTGCGTGGGATTGACCCCACATGACCATTACGTTATATTATTTTGAGGTGTGACCTTTAAGGGTTAAGAAAAAAAATGAATGTAAAGAATAAAGGAAAAAGAATAGTTAATTTTTACTGTAAGTAAAATTGAAAAAATGATTTTTAAAAGAATTTTAATACATATTACATAAAAAATAACCTCAACTTATTTTTGCTGCATTAGAAGTTCTGTAAAATAAATTGAATTAATAACAAACTTCACGTTATTTTTAAAATGATTTTGACGTGGTTTATTTCAAAAATTTCAAGGTTTGTTTAGTTTTTTTTTAGAATTTTAATGATTTGTTTATTTTGAACTTCTAAAAATTCTATTTTTTGGTAATTTGGATTTTTAGAAATTCGTATTTTTATGATCTTTTGGTAATTCAAATAATTATTTGAAAATTAGATAAATCTGACAGTCGAATTTTTTAGAATTCTATCTATTATTAATAATAATTGAAACTTTTGAAAATTCGATTTTCTGATAATTTAAATTTCAAAAAATTTGAACCTTTAGAAATCTTATCTTTTGGTAATTCGACTTTCAACAATTTGATAAAATGGTAATTCAACTTTATGAAATTCGACCTTTTGATAATTCCATATCTTTTGAGATTTAGATCAAAATAAAGCGACTCTCGAAAAAAATTCTACTATATTTATAAAAGTTGAATTTCATATAAAATATTTAAGAAAAATTAATATAAAAAAATCGTAAGAAAATAATTTCTTTATAATTAATATAAATAACAAATTTTATTATTAAATAATCAATTTATCACAACAATTTTTAAATTTAGCGCCACTACTACACAGTTTGGTGTTACATAGTTGGCACACTTGAACTTATCAATTAACAAGTTTCATAACCAAAAAATTTTTCTATTTATAAATCTTGAATTTCATTTTTGATTTTTAGAAATTATTTAAGAAAAATGGAAAATTCTATAGGTATTTCAGTAAAACACGTTATGAATGGTCTATATGACTAAATAAATATAATTTAAATTCGTAAATTATTACTTTTTTCTTAAATAAATAAAAGGGATATCTTTGAAGGAAATTGTATTTTAATATTGTCGAGACACATAGAAAAGTAAGAAAATCACAATGCAGAAAATATTCACTTTTAAAGAATGAGTCTTTTTCACAAGTTGAAAGGAGGAAGACATTTCTCTTGCCCCAAGAGGAACAAGTGATACCACTTAAAAACGAGACGAATAAAATTAAAGGAGAAGTCGAAAGAAATTCGTACACATATATATATATATATATATATATATATATATATATATATATATATATATATATGGGTGATTCTCCGCGTAGCGCACAACTTGCTTTTTTTCATGTTGTGAAAGAAAAATCACAAATAATGTCCACATAATATTTCGATTCCAGTGTAAAAAGGTCATTTCCGTGATTACAAACAAAAACCAATAGTTACTTTTGTATTTAACATTATAATTTTTCGTTAAAAGTGGTTTTTAAGGCTGAAAACGTCAAAATTTGACCTGTCCCCACAGGATGTTTATACAAAAAAGTTAATATTTTTAGAAATGTGCACTAATAAATACAATTTCTGTTGCTATTTTAGTATTGTATATTGTAGTGGAATTGAATAAAAAAACGTTTGATCAAAAAAATAATTATTTTCTTTTTCTTTTGCTATTTATACTTGACTGCACTTTTGTGTGTTATTCTGCGTTTTATTATTAAACATTGAATTATTTAAATAAAAGTCAAATGTTAATATAGTTCTACTTCAGTAACAGCAATTTTCTAATTGATCTATCCTTTTTTACACTTTTTAAGATTCAAATTTATATAGGGCATCAGAAAATCGTCTCCACCGACATCCACCGACCCTTCAATAGTTAAAAAAAAATAGAATATAATTAAATAATAAAGGTTAAATAAAGTGTAGTTATATTATTTTAGTCTATATATATGTGAAACATACACTGAGAAAAAAATGCTATTGAATCAATGAAATATTAGTTTGTCGCATAAAACGGCATATTCAATATCGTTCGAAGACATTCGCTACTAATTCAATAGCATATGCTATAAATTATTACGCCATAGATTTAATAGCATGCACTCTTGTTAACATAGCATATTTTGTGCGTTTGATTTGAAGAATATTTGAAGTGAAGATGCCATGCTATTCAATTCAAAGTATACACAATAAATGATATTACAGATTTTATTGAATTAATTTCTATTTTACTTTAAGTCAATATTATTATGCTAATAATAATTAATCTTTAAAAAATCTAATTTATATTAAAATAAATCGTAGGAATGTGATTCCTGGTTAAAGAATGCATTTTAGTACAAAAATTTCTAATTCCACATAATTGAATAAATGGTTCTATGATTCAACTACGTATACTGTCAATTTTATAGCATCTGCATTTGAACGTATGCGAGTTATTATAACAACAGCATGTGCTATTGAATCGAAAGCAACTTGTATTGTTTCAAAGTTACTTTTATAAAAATTAAAAACACTATTTTTTAATACAACAACTTTTTTATTTAATTAATGAGTACATTTATTTGAAATTAAATAGGGGAATAGTGTCAGGGTTGGACACTTGGCTTTTTTTAAATAAGAGCACTAGCGCCACCTGTGTGCGTACGTGACGAATCTTCTAGTAGTGTAACCTAACTTTTTGTGGCATTACATTTTTGGAGAATCAAAAGTAGCGTCTCCTGTGACTTCGGTGCAATCGAAGAGACAAAAAAA